TGTTGTTACCATATGGCCACTGGACCAAAGGGAGACTAAAACACAGCGTTACCATAGCGAGGCTTGGAACAGCTGGAACATCAGTTCTCCTTCTGGCCTCTGCTCTAATAGAGGAGATTTTACTTTGGATTTTTTATTCTTAAGCACTTAGAAATCTTCATAGAAGTTAAATACAATCCCTCCTTCCATCAAAAGAACAATCGCCAGTGGCTAGCAGGCTGGTTATGCATCACTAAGTCACGTTGCCTTGACTACATCCTTTAATCAACCCCGCTATATAACCAGTGGGCAAAGTTCTCTGGGTTCTAGTGATAGAAAAAGGCCATTAAGATGACAAAAATCAAAGACAACCATAAAAACAAGCTGCCGTGGACTGAAGCTGAAGGGGCCTTTATAACACGTAAAAGAGGGATTAATGAGTTTCTGTGAAGTTTTCAAAAGTCCAGATAACTCTAGAAGTAAGAAACATTGCTCTCTTTAAATATGAATGGCTGCTCTAACGTTACATTTCTATGCTATTCATTGCGGACCGTAGTGGTGTTGTTTCCCCTGCTGGTCAGGATCCAGGGGTCTGATGAGTTCACTGTGTGGTCAGCCTGTCCTGTTTCTGTTTGGACATTTTAAAGGCAGAAGGCCGCTGCTCTTATGGTCTAAGGGGGAAATATCTTCATGTCCGGTTCTGGGTGCACCCTGCATGCGCTACCTTTGAACCGGAGGTCACAGTGTCATGATCAGGTGAGCGTCATCAGACGCAAATCTATTATTGCAGATGTTGACTTTGTGTTTTATTGCTAAGAAAGAATTCTTTTAAAATGGGTTGAGCATCTTTTAACAGGCCGCTTCTCAGTCCAAATTATTGTTGTTTTCTAATAAACATGAATCATTTCATGTATAAAAACAATAAAAATTTCACACTGGAAAAAATGGAAATCTAGATAAGTCATTTTTTTCTTAAAATAAGTGTATTTGTTCTTTCATTGAGGAGGTAAAAGTGACATTTTGCCAATGGAACAAGATAATTTACACTTAAAATAAGAAAACACAATTGCATTGTCTTATTTCAAGTGCATGTTACCTAATTATCTTATTTAAGAGTAAAAATACTCATTCCAATGGCAAACTATCTCATTTACCTGCTCAAATTAAGGGTGAATACACTTAATTTATGAAATTTTAACTTATTTATATATTGTTTTTTCCAGTGCACCACTTTGGAACCTGAAGACAGAGCTTCACCTTGGCCATTATTATTTCTAATTTGAAGTCATTTCTAAACATGGTCAGAAAATAACCCAGTTATAACCTAGGATCATATTTGCATTTCTGCTTGTGGAGGACCATATTGAATATAGTAAATATTCTTACTTTTTCGTTCCACCCTCTGTGTATTCACTCCTGTAGAAACCTCCCAGATCATCTGCCAGCTCTCCGGTGAAGTTTAGGGAAAGTATATAAAGTTGGCCCTTCAGCAGATTGCCATTTAGTTTTAAAACCAGGAACTGGGTCTCAAAAAACAGGAAGCCTTCATTGACAGAAGGCACGCTGTGCCCACTGACGGCCGAGAGATGTGCAAACCCCCCATCACTCATTGAACCTGAGTAGTTGAGCTTGTTTGAGTGTATAATGATGAGGTCCGTGTCTTCCACGCACTCAAACAACACAGACGATTCACCTGAAACACAATGATATCATCTTAAAACTTTTTATTATACTTCTGACTGTGTGGAGAGACTGATGAGCAAATCGTCTGAACATAATTTTTACTCAAAGGTTGCAGAACAGGACAGATGTGTCCCCAATAGATTGAGCCTTAAAACCTAGAAAGAACCATGACTCTGGACTTCATGATCCAACTAGTTCTATTCATTAGTTTCCCAGAATTAAAAAAGTAAATAAATAAAAGACTGTCTAGCTTTAAATACTGTAAATGTCAAAGAAATATTCTAATTTTCTTTGGTTTACTCTTTGTTTTTATGCGACATGTTTTAGTCAGACATGGTTGGACTTAACAGTACTGAACTGGATCTGAACTAAAACTGATTTGGACCCATTTGTGATTTAAAGGACAAAAATTTCCAACTGTTTCCCGGCCAAATATCTGAAAAAAAGAAGAAAAAAAACAAAGACTGAATTTATTTCATTTGGAGGTAATAAAATGAAAGATGTTCATGTTTTGATGTTTTATTTTGCATAAAAAAATCAAACTGACTCTCTTTGACTCTTTTTTCATGAAGTTTTAGAAAAGTTAAAATCAGCCTGACCTGAAGGAGGCCAGTCTTGATCACTTCAGACTCAAACATTAAATGTCCAGTAGGTCAGGATGTTTACAGCCTTTAGCTGCTCCAGAATGCGCCCTCCTATCTGATAAATAACTCCCTCCATTGTGCAAAAATCTGCCTTTTTTATACTCATTTAATCGACTTAAATTATTTTAAAGCTTAACTGTTAGTTTTTTCATCTCTAAGTTCTTCTAGCCTTTTTTATCCGAACTTTCAATTAGCTACATGTCCATCAGTTTTCAGAAGTATTTTTTTGGTGTTTTTTATTTCCATTTTTACAACTTTAGGCAAAAAAACAGAAGTAATACCGGTAATTGTTCTCCACGATCCATTTTTTTTGTATCTGTTAAGTATGGTACAAAAAGGGTTGCCAATAATTCTTAAGCTGTTCTTGATTTATTTCTGCTTTCATGCCAACATTTCTTCTGAAACCCTCTAGTTGTAACAGCTCATAAAATGTGGGACAAATTTGAGCAAATCCTCTTCAGATCCGCAGCTCCAATGCCTAAATCTAAATTGCATTTCTTATTCCTTTTTTTGTGAAGGGGGGTTTTCATTTATTTCATCAAGGGGGTAGAAGAGAAAATGAAGAACTCTACATCAGTGCATCTGTTCTGGTCCACCGCCCACTAAGGACTGATTTGATAAATGTCCTTCCATCTGAATTATTTTGGTTATTTATCCCTTATTCCTCATTTATGAGGGAAACCGATGAGGTTCCATGTGTTTTATCTCTTTGATTCAATGGTTCTTATGTAAAAAAGTCTAGTCAGAGCCTCAGAGGGAAACTTTTCGTTACCAGATTTTAAAATAAGCTCTAATGCTATTTCTGATTTTCTATTAGTATTAATCTGGAAGCTTTCCATCTTCTGTAAATCTCCTTATAAAGTTGCCAGCTAGTTTTAGTTTTGCTATCAGCTGCAGTATCAGCTGGATATTCATTAGATGTAGTTTTAGTTCTGGTGCTGAGCTCAGCTGTTTTGAATGAAGAAAGACAGTTTTAGATCTTCCACTGCCCCACCTTACCTGTAAAGATGTAAAGTCCAGTAGCTGGATCTGGTTTCAGTCGGGGCCACAGAGTCACATTGTACTCGATTGGTACCAGAGTTTGTGGCAACCGGTATTTGTTCCACGGATTGTTTGGAGGGGTCGTTGTGGGTTTAGTGGATGATGTGGTGGTCGTTCCTCCCCCGCCATCAGTTGGTGACACCTGGTTGTTGTTGTTTTTGGACTTTTCCTGAGAGTAAACGACAGACAGAGCAATGATGATGGACAGGGCAGCCACTCCTACGAAGATCCCTCCAATTCCAACCGCTTTACTGATGAAGAAACCTTTAGCCATGCTGCCAACCTGCCCGCACTGAGACTCTGTAAGGAGTGAAGTCTGTCAAGCCTTTATTTGTGGCCATTTGGTGTCTGCCCTCCCATCGATGGCAGCAGGTGACACATTAACAGACCACCTACCTGAGCTGTAACTCCCTCAGCCAAAAGAGGAGCTAAACCCAGGATATTTCATTTAAATGTTTCCGTATCTATTCTGCATTTAAATCTTTGATTCTGAAACAGATAGAAATATTCTGCAGAAGAAGTTCCTTCATTAATTTGAATGTTTTAATTAATTTGACCTTTTGAACTGGTGATGAGTCCTAGACGTAAATTCACCTGAAACAGCCTTGAACACCCACCTGGATCACCTCCTTGTGCCACCACTTTTCAACACTTACTTTCAAAATATATTAATTTACTAACTGAAATGAAATTAATCCTCAAAAGGGGAAATTCATTTCTCCCAACATAACACAAAACAAGAAATCTAAAAAAAAAAAATTAAAATCAAAAATTAAAAAACAGAAATGTAAGATTTATGTGAAGAAACTCAGAACCCTCCTGGCACCTGATCTTCAAAATTTAATTAAAGGGGTTCAAATTGCATGTGCATTTTTTTTTTATTAAGTGTAACCTGGCATAAGTCAGATTGATGCCATGTAGAATTCTTGTATCAATCTGGAAAGCCTTGTCTAGTAAGTGTTTGTTAAAGGGAGGGGCATTCAGTGCAATTCTTTGAGCTGATTGGGTACACACGTCCACTGTTGAGTTTTTAGCCAATCACAGCAGCAGTAGTAGCTTAATTTGTTTCACAACTAGTGCAGTGAACTAATTAATCAAACTATTACCAAATTCATCTTGCCAGGAGCCAACATATGCATTAGCCTAGATACACTATTGTTAGGGACCACTGAATGGCTATGATGTGTATGATGTTACCGCGTTGTGTATGTTACTGCGTTACATAAAACAGGACAGATGGACCCAGTATTCAAGCAAGACAGACAGTGGGAAGTTTCAAAACGTTTAATGATTAAATAAAAACTGAAACAGAACAGAAACGGGCTGCTGTGGATCATCCTCTCAGCTGAGGCAGAAGTGGCCTTCCAGAGTCTCCACGATGCTGCAACCCCAGAAAGCAGCTCAGGAGACTGATCCAGGCCAGGGAAACAAAACAAAACAGGACAGCTTCGAAATCCAGGAATCCCTAGACCAGCCAAGAGTTCAGATCCGAGCGGGAACTGACAGATCCAGGGTTCCAGGAATCTATGGAGCGCCCAGGCAGGTTCAGAGTTCCATGAGCCCAGCAACGAGCTTATACTGACACTTTCAGATGGAGACAGGTGACCTAGTGGTTGGGAGGAACAGAGACAAGACATGGTACCAGGAGAAACTGCAGAACTTTAAACTTGCTCCATCCAGGAGCCAGGATCATGGGAGTTAAAACTGGCTGACGCCATACACACTCCGCTTTGTTTAAAAAAAATACAAATATAAAAAATGTAACCGCGGATGTATGGGGGACAGTGATTCGCCTACATGCTATAAATGCTGGCGTACCATAAAGAATAAATTATGAACAGTTTAGTTTGTGCCTTCAAGTCGTTGCCCATAGGAAGAAGTTACTTGGATATAACCTAACCGAATATCTTCAGAACAGCTCCAAAGACACAAAACTTATATGGGTGAGTAGAACATGATGTAATAACGTAAAATCAAGGGCCCAATGTAAAAAAAAAATGGCGTTCCCCTTTAACTAAAACTCAAACTACAACAAACAAACAAACAATAAGCTGGGCTGAACCATATATAAAGTAGAGGGAGCAGGTGGATAAGATGAATGATAATTAGAGAGCGGGGGGAACGGCAGGTGAATGAAGTGAGTAATTAGCCCCTTGCTCACACTGGCTCCGGTGCAGTTACCGAGCCGACGGAGACCGCAACTCCCGCACACCCCCTCTCACACTGCCATTTTGACTACGGTGCAGTGCGGCTCTGCGGCTCCGGCAACAGGTCCGGAGATTTAACAGAAGTTCACTTGAGTTCACGTAACTTCAAGCGATAACACGGCCCAAATAAAGGATTTTTGCGAGAGCTTGTTGCGGAGGGCTCCGGCACGCCGCAAGGATAGCTTTCTTGCGGAATTTTCTGCAGCGCCGGAGTGTCTCGGTAACCGCAGCCAGACAGCTCAGCAGCCGGTGAGAGAGGTTTACGTCTTTTTAATGACTTGGAATCACTGCGGAGCCGCACACACCGCACCGCAACGGTAAGACCGGAGTCGGTGTGAGCCTGGGGTAGATCAGCTACCGGGGCTGCAATCATGGCAGGCAAAGACAAGATAAACGAAACCATGAGTGAATTTCAGTTCCAGGAACCTTTTCGGAACCTTATCCTTCTTTTCCACAACAGTACCTGAACACATATTAGACAAAAAAGCTAGGAAATGTGACCTGACAATAGTCCTGCCAGGCAGGAACACTCTCTGGATGGAGCTGAACTAAACATCAGCTTAATTGTGGGACGTTTCAGTCGTCTCTGTACAGCAGGAACCACTTTTATAACACAAATATTTCAACACAACTTAATCCGGAATAACAAAGTACATGGTACATTTTAACTGTTCTGTTTGGTAATCAGTAAGCTCCATTTAGTTTGTGAAATCATATTTTATCTTGTGGATTATACTTTAACAGGTGGACACTTTTCCATAATCCTTTTATAATAAATATAATTTTATGGCTCAGCAGCCCTAAAGCAGAGTCATGATGAACAGGCAGTAGGAAGGTTACGAAAGATCACATTTCAGTTCAATCATTTAGCTTTTGAATTACCTCAGATCTATATCTCCACTCAACCTTTGGTTCTTACAGTTAGAATGAAATAATTAATAAACACCTAAAGAAGGATTTATAGTGAACTTTCCCCTTTCAAGGGTTCATTTTAAACCATGTGCATGGTACCGTGTTATTGAATTAGAGAGACATTAACATGACTGCAAAGAAAAACAGTGGAGTAAAAGATTATGCACAAAAGCAATAATGCTGCTAAGTCCTCTCAACATTTTTTTTTACAAATGTATTCTATATTTGCATTTTAGTTTAGTTTTATTCAAAGATGAAAATAACTTAAACAAATACAGACAGCCGTTTTCAAGTGATATTCAGGAGAGATCTAACCACCCCAACCCGGAACTCAAGCTGCTGCTTTTGTTAAGTTATGAATTAACAGTAATGAATGTTTTTTTGAGGTTTTCATGGGAGTTGTAGGTTGGACATTTTACAAAGTACAAACAGGCCAGATTAGTGCCAGACTTGTAGAATCAACCACCTGTTTAGACAGAGCCTGTGTGAGACATAAAGTAAACAAATGCATCTGAAAAGCACATTTCCCCCCAGAAATAAGGATTTGAAGAGAGCACCAGTAAAGCAAGGAGAGAATATAAGAAAAAAATGATTAAGACTGGTGGTGGAAGTGTGATGATCTGGGCTTTTATTTTTATCTTCATGATCCAGGTGACTTTCAGGAACAGGTGGAACCACAGATTTTGCTCTCCAGCCAAGAATCCTGAAATTTGCCAGGATCTATGATCATAGCTTAAATCAAAGGAAGATGATGTTTATTTGTTTCATTTTCCTTAAAAAAAAAAGGAAATAATCATTTTGAATTGACTTATCATTGCCTGTTATAAAAAAAAAATCATCCCAGATATTAAGAATTTAAGTTTAACTAAAGGCAAAACCAGACATCTATATCAGTAAAAATATTTTTTTTCTGCACTGTAAACCCCCAGTTAACAGGTTAGGTTTTCATGGAAAACTCTTCAACTAATTGAACATTTCTATTCAATATTTTGGAGCAATAAATATGTAATATGTCTCTTTGTTTCAGTTTACTAGTGGATAGTTATGTCATTATCAAATCTAATGCAGAATAGTCACGGGATGAACTTAATCTATTCAGTCCTAATTTAGATTAATTATTTTGTTATTTTTTTTCAGTCTTCATCCAGTTTTCTACTTGCTGCTACAATATATTAGGATCTCTGTCCTCAGAGCTGTAGGGGAACATCCAAACAGAAATGATTAAAAAAGCAGAGGACCAAAGAAACAACCTTGAGGTCCGCTAAGATTTGCCTGAACCTTTGAGACGCTGTTTCATCAAACCTTGTTAACTGCTCTAAGATGCACAGATCAGCACCACTAATCTAACAAGTGACTTAAATGAACAACATTTAAGAAAGTGTATTCTTTCAGCAAACACATTACAATAGTCCTATTTTCATTCAATTAAAGTATACTTTTTTTTAAATTGATAAGTAACATCTAATGGTTGATTACATTAAAGGTTTTCTTTGGACATAAAGCAATGTTTTTCCTGCAGTAAAAACTGCAACATTTAGATATCTGTGAAACAGTCTTTCAATCTTTCAGATTATTCCTGTGTTTCTCCAGAAAAAAAGCATGAAGCTTGTTAAAATCATATAGGAGACTGAAACTCAGTGTCTGCTACCTTTTTTTGGTAGCAAATGTTACTCCCCATTTTTATTGTACATATAAACAGTTGTTTTCCCTCCAAGGTTGCTGTCAGCAGCTTTATTCCTGCTAAATCAAACTGAGGTCAACAGCCCCTCACTGTCCTTCACATTCCTCTGTAGACAATAACTAACTGTAGAGCAGGTGTTGCCTTTTCTAGTGACCGTGCAAAGCTTCATCACATGGGAAAAACTCCCCTTTCAGGTGTTTGTGAACCTGTTGTGCTCACGAACATCACAACGTGTTCACAGAAATCTTTATGCTTGTGAGGGGCTTTTCAACTTCAGAGGAACGTCTTTCTGTTCTGATGATGGCGGATATGTAATAAATGTCTTCAGTTAGTCTGAATGTGAGGCTTTTACAAGCATTCATACATGTGCTCATGTTGTTGCCTTTGGCCTTTTAACTTTATCTCCTCCAAAAGGGTTTTATGGCTGCTTATCGAAACAAGAATAAGATGAAAAAGCTCAGGCTGTTTGCAGAC